AACGGAGGTGCAAGTATTTGGCTCCTGGACGAAAATCAAGCAGCAAGGCCTGGAGGATTTGGACAAGGAATCATCCCGAAGACAGGAGCAAACTGGAGATTGCATCAGGCGTTTGGATTAGAGCCTTTCGAACCCCTGTTCGGGGCAGGAGCTGCAAACGGATGAGGTCGAACAGGGAGAAGGATGGATGCGCCCGCAGGGAGCATGGTTGGCGGCGTCGCACACCTCTGCGACACCGCGGCAGCGGGAAAGGCTTTTGGGTGGCTTCGGGATTTTCCATCGAGGGTGAAGGGAGCAGCTGAGCGAGGAGCCCGGGTGGCTGCTGGCCAGGAGGGAGCTCCGGCTCCGTGCCCCAGGGGTGGTCGGCCGCCGGCATCCCGCACCGTCACTCTTCCCCACGGGTCCCCTCTGGTGAAGGTACCGTGGAGCCGAGCAGCTGCCTGTCCTATCCATGTGTTAATAAATCCTGGCCTCACTCTTCCCTCTGCCGATTTCCAGGAGCTCCACCAGGCACTCCTGCCCCCTCGCACGGACAGGGCGGCTGACGCGCAGAAACGAAGCGACTTTTCTCCGAGTGAGCGATAGGTCGGCGAGAGTTGAAGCCCTTCTCAGGAGACTCCTCCGGAGCTAACGGAGCATCCTCCTCCCCAGAGCAGCTGGGATGTTTAAGGCTAAGTAGGCTTTTCCATCCAACATGAGCCCTCGGTAGGAGGCCAGCCAGGGGAAGCCCTTCACCGTGAGCAGTCCCCCGCAGCCGGGCTATCGTGTTTTCCCTGGGAAGGGGGTTTCAAAGCAAACAGGTGGAAGCACCACTGGAGACAGGCTGGCTCAGAGGTCCCTTCCGGCTCTAATAAAAGCAGTGCCGTGGCTCAGGTCTCTCCTGACAAACGACAAGCCAAAGCCCAGACACCATCTTGGTTGTTGTAAATGCACAATGTGCACACAGGGCTCTGCGAGGACAAAGGGCTCTGCCTTCACACCACCACTGCCGTTGTAAAGGGCTTTCGTCCTACACCATCCCAAAAGAAACTCTGGGGGAACATTAGGGCAGCTGTAAAACGCAATTCATTGCAAGGATGACACCTTCGTGTCTGCTCTGAGCTGACACAAATACCTGTGGTAAGAGACAAAGCCAGCCAGCCCCAAAATCCAATTTTTCGGGTGTTCCGAAGGGTCTGTAAAACACAGCAAGCTCTTTCCTCCATGTGGTGGGAGGTTGAGATGCCCACGAAGCCAGTCGTGGAGCAGAGCATGGCAGCTCTGCGTGGAGCAGGCGGACAGCAGCTCGGAGCGCAGGGAGCCCAGCGAGACGGATCGCACCCGGCGCGGGTGCTGGGCACCGCTCACGAGCAACTTCAGCTCTGAACACCAGCCCATGGAAGGTATATTCTTAGTGAAATCAAAATCGATGTGGGCATTTTCTAGAACCAGATGGCCAAAGGAGGCTTCTCGAGGGCAGAAGACAGGGAATGGAGAATGTCTGTGAGCAATAATCATCCGGGCTCTCCCTCACCCCGCTGAAGTGAAGCGGCCACTGCACCATCGTCGTCTGTACTCGCACAGAGAGCGGTTACCCCGGTCTGCGTGCCTCTTCTCGACAAGAGCGACTCCTCCATGACTTGCACCGCACTGAACTCGCCAAGAAGCACGTGCCGGTTGTGCAACGTTCGAATTGGAAAGAGCACGGCACCGTGACGCTCCGCAGACAAGCCGGGAGGCCGAGGGGGATGTTTTCTTCCTTCTGGCTGATCTTACCTGGAGAGGCATCTCGGAGCAAAGCAACTTGGAGTCACGGTCCCCAAAGCCCTGGACTTTCACGCTAGAGCAGAACTCGAGCTTTCACAAGCCAGGAAAGCGCATATTGCCAATTCCACCGGGGTGGCTCCTCTGAGCAGCAGGGCTAGTGGCCAACACAAAGAGAGTGGTAAAGAAATACAGAAATCACAAGGCTAGAGGCTCAGGAAAGACGCCTCAGGACTGAGGCAGGACAATGCTGGTGCCATTGTTTTTCCAGTTTCCATGGACGAAAAGCCCACCTCCGCTAACAGGCCATGGAGGCGAGTCACGTTCAGGCAGGAACAGCTGCGGCCCCAGGGGACGTGGTAGCCCCTGCTCCCACCCCACAAACTGAAAACCTGGTGCAAACGGTGGAAAAACTGCTCTCTGACCAAAGACAGCCGTTCCTCTCTTCCCAGGCACCTCTTTGCCTGCGCAGCGAAGTCCCAGAAGCTGCTGCTCCCCTCCCTGCAGCGCAGGTCCCTGCACCAGTGCCCATCCAGATGCATTTTTTTAACAGTTATGCCCAAAGTAACCCCACCTCCTGCGAGCAGAGGTACAAGACATCTCCTCTGAGCATCTCCTCCGAAGCACAGTCGTTGGCTTACACTTCGCTAGAGATGTCTCAACGCCGGAGGTGATCCTACTGCCTTGCGCTGCCGTAGACAGCTACGAGAGTTCCACAGGTTTTGCCTTGTGCCTGTTCTATAAACACACCCACACTACACCAGCATCAGCCTTCTGCTTCCCATCCAACCAGAATAACTTTGCATAGCTCCTTTCATCCTAAAGGGCTTTTCAAAGGAAAGCTGGCATATTACACAGGTTGCCCAGAGAAGCTGTGGCTGCCCCATCCCTGGAAGTGTTCAAGGCCAGGTTGGATGGGGCTTTGGGCAACCTGGTGTAGCGGAGGGTGTCCCTGCCCATGGCAGGGGGGTTGGAACTGGATGATCTTTGAGATCCCTTCCAACCCAAACCATTCTGTGATTCTATGGTTCTATGATTCTATGACTTTTCTCTACCAGTGATAGCTTCTCAGTCTGAGAAAGATGCAGCAACTACTCAAAAGTGCAGCTTTCTGCCCAAAGCTAGCTTGGGGTGGGGTGGGCAGCACAGAGAGGAACCCCCACATCGAGGGCTGGGGACGGAGCTGCTCGGCTCCCACGGTTTCAGCGGAGAAAGGGGGAGCAGGGTGCTGCGTCCTCCACGGCCGAGCGCCGGACTCCTGCTCCTCACGCTGCGTTTAACCAGCGCTTTGACACCATCGCTGTCACCAACCCAGTAACTATGAGGTAGTGTCTCTGACCTCAAGCCTTGCGCCTTTAATGAGACCCCAAAGGTTTTCAGAGCCAGGAGTGACTAAGCTTTCCGTTGATTTAAGAACATTTAAAAAAAATTAAGAGATGCTACAGCCAAACACGTTCAAGGCTGAAGGACAATCACACCCGCCAGAGCAGTCCTCGAGCCCTCCTTGAGCACATCATGAGAAAGGCAATTAGGGATGGAAGTTATAAAACATACGAGACACGCTGCGGCCCGACCCAGTGAATCAGTGGTTCATGGAAATTTCCACAGAAAGCTGGAGCCATCAGTTAGCGTTTTGTTTATCTCCCTGCTTCAGATTACGGGTGGGAGCGAAGCCCTTCTGGGAACACCCACCGGCTTCCTGCTGCTCCCAACGCCCAGGGTGGCCCACATGTGGGACACAGACCTGCGGGACCTCCTGCGAGGCTGCACCCTGACTGTGGCACAGCACGGGCTTCTCCGGAGCGGGACCGCAGCGCGCCAGGAGGTGATCTCATCTTTGCACTCAGGGCCAGCCCTTGCACAATCAAGCTCCGCTGTATCTAAAATTGGACCTGGCTTATCAGCTCCGAAGAGAAGCTGTCTGCGTGCTACGGAGAAGGGCACGGACTCCATCTACCTTTCCTCTTCGGCGCTGAACTTAGCCATGAGGTGCTCCTCCTTTTCAGGTGGTGTCAAAACAAGTCAGTGGTTCAGCATCGAGGGGTGGAGGGGGAAGAGAGTTTCATTCACCAGACCCAGCATTTCCCAGTTCAGGGCACACGAGAGCGTTCTGACCAGCTCCATTTCCGTCACCGGTGCACAACGCGCTCCTGTCAGTTGTCCCGAAGGAAGGTATTTGCTTTTCCTACGCTCCGGACAGCTTTGACACAGGCGGCAGGACGCTGCAGGCCACGGACAAGAATGAGATAACTAACTTGGGTGATGGATGGCTAATTAGCTGGCAAGCAGTGCCATTAATTAATCCCTCTGTCCTTGCTCGTGGGGCACCAACATACGCACGTTTGGGAATCGGTGCTATTAGTCACCGCAGAGATCTTGTCCCCAAGTTTCTAACAGATACAGGGGGGCTGAGGACCTCCAAAAGCAAGTGCCAAGGGAGTAACGACGGTCCATTCATCACTAACGAGCTGGACCGAAAACCGCAGCAGACAGGTTACCAGCAGCGCCCTTGCACAGTGCTTCACCTCAAAGTATCTTGGATCTGCTCTGGATTCACGTATCCCCCGCTGCTCCTCAGGACCAGTTTTTGGAGCTTACTGTGACTTGAGAAGAGGAGCTGGGTGCAGGCAGTAATCCCAGTCGTAGAGAGGAAAGCTGGGCTGCACCCCGGTCCTGCCCTTGCTCCGAAAGCCTTGGCACCTTCCTTTTGTTGCGCAGCAGCACGCACAGGACTGTCTCTCCTCTTGCTGCAGGAACTACGCTCTCTTTTGCTGCATCTGCTGCCCAGCTGGTGCCCGTAAGCACATGCCATACCCGAGCAAATCCCTGGCATCCCATGAGGAACCCACCGCTTTCACCGCGCCGTCTGCGCGAGCGCCCACCGTACGGCTGTGCGGCGCAGGGAGCTGAACTCAGCCGGGGACCAAAACCAACGGAGAAGCACGGCAAACTCTGCCAACAAATACGGCGGAGGAGGCGAATCCAGAGCACTTGCTACGGGCTCTCGGCGGATCACCGCAGGCCCCGTTCAGAAGCCGGATAGCCAACGGCTACTGCTGCTCTGGAAACGGCAACAGCACGTTCAGGAGGGGGAAACGGAGCTTATGCAATTACTTTGCAGACATGTGGCGAACGGTTACTACCGAAAATAGTTCAGACCTCAAAGGCATCCCTTCCTGAGCTGGCCATACTGGTTTCCAGACACGTGGCAGAGCCGTTTTTGCAGCTCCCCCCTCGCACGGGCACGCGGCCCTTACCTTATAGAACACATCGGGCACGTACTGCTCGCTGCTGGACTCCTTGGCGTAGCCCAGCTCCGGCGCGTCCCGGCAGGGCAGCAGACACTCGTCTCGAACCAGCGCCATGCACTGATTCGACACCTGGTACCCCTCGAAGTGGACCTGGTTGTCGGGACCACCTGGAAGAGAAGAGGCTGGTTAAAAACCCCGCAGGAGAGCGCTGATGGCGAAGTACTCCCAGGCGAGAACCCCCTCCAAATTCTACATTTATTCAGTAACACACGTTTTCACGGCTAGCCTAACAGGACAGACCCCCGGAGCGACAGCCAGAGTGCTTTGCCAGGAGCTTAAAGGAGGTGAAGCTGCTCTTTCGGAAGGCTCCTGATAGCATCAGCCCCCCACCACCCTGCAGGTATCTTCTCTTTTTCAAAACAAAGACCAGGCACGCAGCTCCTGGGAGCCTGTTTCATTTCCAAGGAACCACGAGCTGCAGATGGAGGGCTGGTCACCTCGTAATGTCAGGCACGAGAAGAAAAAGCGTTTTCTCAGCCTGTAATGGATGGCCTGGTGGAAATCTGACATGGAAAGTGGAAATTAAGGCCCTGGCTCACTGATAGATCACATGCTTGGCGCTTTAATTTGGATAATGTAAGCAACATCAGGTCATATTAGAATACAACTGGAAAGAGAAGATACAGACAGATGGTAGGAAAACGTTACTATTTCCAAACCTAGGAATTCAGGAGGGGATAGGAATTAATCCATGTAGGGGATTTAAAGGCAAAGTTGATGCAAACTATCCAAATATATTTATACAGCACAAAAGGAAGGAATCAAGTGTTTAAATAGAAACCTGATGGGCTGATTTAACAGAAGAGAATAAAATTATCTGGAACAGAAAAGAGGAAACATTCGTTTTCTACGCTTTGATCTCTAACCTCAATCACTCACTGCTCCAGAACAAACACTCCTAGAAATTAAACATAGACCAAGACACGGGGAAGGCCTGAACAAAGCTAGCCATCATTTTCTCAGTGAAACACCTTGTTTAAAAAAAAAAAACAAAACCCAAACAGAAATAAATTAAAAAAAAAAAAGCGAGTGAGATACACATCTATCTTTAATGAAAGATGGATGCGTTTAGCAGTCTGGAATGTGCGGGCAGCTGCCTGATTGCACAGGCCTGTTAACTGGAAGAGTGTTTTCACTGAAAAAGGCTCCGGGAAGACTTACAAAACCTGGGCTCGGAGGAGGCAACACAATATCACACTTTCAGTTTTCGCACTGGACGCTCTTTGGAAGTCAGGCGTTTTTATCGTTGTGTTAAACGGACCCAGGGCTCAGCGTTTCTGCTCCAGGGAGATTTTAAATGGCTACACGTGTCATCCCGTGGAGAACAGCAGATCGAACTTCTAACACTACGACTCTCCCAGCACATGCCAACGTCTCCCCTCGCAGCGCGGGCAGCGCAGACCGTTCCACGGTGCCTCCGGAGAGCCGCTGCGGAAACGGCTAAAACCAGAGGTGACAAAGCAAAGCGTGTTGCAGGCTTCTCTGCTTTATTCAGGCAAACAAACAAAAAAAATGGTTTCCATGCAGGGAAGAGCACAGCATCCTACGTAAGGGTTTCCCTGACAGCGACACAAGGGAGATAAAGGTCCCTCCTTTAAGCTGAACCAGCCAGAATAACTTTCCGGATCCGGATTGCCGCGGTTCTGCACTGCCGCTTTCAGGCAACAGGATTTGGAGCTTCGAGATTTGAAACAGAAAAGTGAGCAAGAGGCATTCCCCTGGCTGCAGGCAAAAAACGCTTTCTGGATCAGAGGTGGATGCTCCAGGTCTGAGCCTCAATTAAGTTCCCCACAGGGGACAGGGTAAATAATTGTGGAGAAGATAGCACAAAGAACGAGAAAGTATTTTACTCGACAGAGCAAGGCAGAACCCCTGTTAAATAGGACAGATGGGGACTGGGATGTCTGTCTCCTTCTGGCAGAGCTGCATATTCTTCTTCTATTAACAAGAGATAACTCATGTGTAACCAAGAGAGCTGGGGCAAGCCGAGGCCAGTTTATACCTGTAGCCACAACCGTGACAAACTTGGATCCGAAATGACCATCTGGAGAAAGGCGACAGATGTTGGGCTGCTGGTTCTGAAAGTTTCCAGCTGTGATGCACTCTTCTGCACTGAGATAATACGTGTCCTGAGGGAAGAGCAGAAACGTCAATGAAAAGGACAACGTGATGGAGCCTAGACCTATTTCCCTGGTCTGCAGCCAAAGAAAACTACCAACACCCGACTAAAACATGCTTTCGTAGAACGTTGCTGCAGAGACCAGGGAAAGAATGTGACATGTCAGCTCTCCAGCCCTCAGCCTGGCTCTTGCCAGAAGGACTGTCCCATTTCTAGTTCCACCCACCTTTACACACCTTTTTTAAAAAAAAAACAAACGAGGTTTCGTTTTCCAAATAGGGATACCATTGATTTTAGAATTACAGGAAGCTGAGAAGGTCAAAGCCTGAGCCACGTCTACCTCAAAGCCCAGCCCACAGCAACGTCCTCTGAGTCATTTTTGCTCCCTGAGTTTGCACCTCACACCACCCTGTTCCCTCCTCGCTCAACTGCACTTTCTTAAGCCACGAGCAGTGTTTTCGTCGAGCAGAGTGGGCCAAGGACCGTGCAGGTCTGCACATCATCTGAGCACCTTCACACCCCTAGCAGTGCTCTTTGACCTCAAGCTCCTTCCCCTTCAGAAGCTTCTGAAAACCCACTTTTCCCCACAAATTCCAGTCCCGGCGTCACTCAGGCTCGGTGTTCTGTGTGGCACAGCCAGCGTTCATGCGACTACACAACCCTTTGGCTGTGATCATAGAATCATGGAACGGTTTGGGTTGGAAAGGACCTTAAAGATCATTCAGTTCCAACCCCCCTGCCATGGGCAGGGACACCCTCCACTACACCAGGTTGCCCAAAGCCCCATCCAATCTGGCCTTGAACACTTTCAGGGATGGGGCATCCACAGCTTCTCTGGGCAACCCTGATCAGCTGCACGCTCCAGGCTCACCTTGTTTCTGCTGTATCGAACGGTCCCTTTCCGTGTGTCTTCAGAGACCAGATCAGTAAATATCCAGCCAACCTATAAGGAAGTGTTATGGGAGAAAGTTGCTTTAAAAAAAAAGAAAAAAAACCCACAACACAAACCAGAAGAGAGCTTATCCATTTTCTCCTAGCGGGACAAGATGTTCTTGGCTCCGCGCAGCCCTGCTGTACGCTGCCTGAAGGAAATGGCTCTCCCAGCTGTGCCGGGCTCATTTGAATCCCATTTCCAGGAGCAGCGTGCCAGCTGGCCGGCCGGGGGCACCTGCAGCTTTATGTTTCACTACGGAATATTTTTTCATGGAAAGATCCGGAGGCTGCGAGAGGCCTCTCAGCCGCTACCTCCTCCCACCCACGGCAGAAAGCATTTCCTATGGAGCGTTCGGAGCAGAGCAGCGCCGGGAGCGCCAGCGGATGACAGAGCAGCTCACATGAGCTCATTTTGAAGCTCGCAGTCACTAGTTAAGATAAAGCTCGTATGTTCCCACTGGAGAATGATTCATTCCAAACCGGAGCCTGCTCCGATCCAAAACCCACATTCCTCCTTTCTGTGTTGTTTGCACATAGGAGCAGGGATGTGTACACACACACACCGCTGGGTGAACCCGTCCACACACGTGCTAAAACCAGCTCTGATCAGCCCTCTCCGACCAACTCCCACAGCATTAACCCTTCCGAGGGAGAACTCCCGATCCAGATTGCCGGCAGAGCCCAGACAGACGAAAACCTGCAGCCAGCAGTACGTTACGCGTTAAGTCATAGCGATTAAAAAAATCTCTGATGTGAGAAGCGGAGGAAAAGCATGGAAATAAATAACACACACACAGAAGCTTTGCTTCAGACGCTGGCAGGAAGCTGCAGATCTTATCTTCAGAGAACAAAAGACCTCACCGCAGATGTTCACGGTCTGCCCCACTCAGCCTCTTCTGATTTGCCTTTTCTTTAGCAAGTCAAATCTTGTTTGTGTACATCTCACTCCTGGCATTCACATGATACCAAAGAGATTTCCCAAACCGGAAAACATCAGTAGAGGTTTGAGAGATGTCAGCAAACCATCGGATCCCAACACCCCTACGTCCCAATCGGATGACTGGCAGGCTGTGGGCAGGAGGGGAACCAGAGGGCTGAGGTTCAGCTGCTGGGGAACCTGCACCTCTAACCCAACATATGGATTAACTCGCCGCAGCCTGCCTGAGCAGCGCCACGAGACAAGACTCTGCAGAGGAGGATGAAAAACAAGCAGGAGCCTCTGCTCCTGGAAGCGGAGCACCGATTCTGTCAAAAGGAAGAGCAAACTCAGAAGGCAACTCCAGCTACATCTGCACCAAATTAGCACTCACTGGGGACACGCTACCAGAAACAGGTCCTATCGGAGGAGAAATACAGGGAAAATCGTGTTTCTGCTTCTTTGCTACTCCCTTTGATGTCATTCATGTCAGAGAACTGCTGACTTCAGCTGCACAGCCCTGCTAGATGCTTGTGCTCAGGAAAACGCTCCCATGTTGTTTTTCATACCTAAAAGCATAAGAGCTACCGACACCTAGGCTGGATTTCAGGGATGCCCACACAGTCCTGAACAACCCCGTGGAGCTGAAGAGAACCGCCAATGACTTCCTCCGTCGCCGTACAAAGACGCACGAGATCCCACAACATCCTAACCTTTCTCAGTCCGAGCTTTGCAGCGATCTCGTCCACCACCTCGGCTTTTGGATCTTCCAGGATCTCCAGGCTGTTCTGCGTACCGATCTGCAGCAAAGAAAAACTCGCTAGTAAGGCAGAACAGGAAAAAACAGAGCGCACTCAGTCATTGTCAGGAGCGAGGCAGAGGATGGAAGCAGAGGTCTGGGTTTCCCCTCTGGCACCACCACTGACTGGTTTCACCCCAGAGACCTCCTCCATTCCCAGAGCCATCCTGTCGGAGCCCTTCAGCTACGTCGACAAACTATGTCGGGGTTTATGAATGAAACACTCGGCATTTACAAACAGGCTGTTGCCATTTCCGAGTACTTCGGAAAAGGCGAGAGATTACACAGTTTTTTCCAAAGCCCTGTGCTCACCCTGCCAGTTTTGTACCATTTCGTTTGTTTGAATCTTGGAGCAGCAGGGAGGCAGAAATCCAGCAGATCCAAGAGCCCGCGGCCAGGCCTTCCCCCCGCGCTCTGGAAAACGCGGCTCCATCTGGGAGCGTTTCTGGTGCAGGGAGATGCCGTGTCGAGAAGCACAGCAGAGACTGCTTGCCAGGAGAGCAAAACTTTCCCTGCTTTTGCCGTGCACAACTAGAAGCACATGAACTTCCAAAGCAGAGGCTTAACAGCAATACAGAAAAAACAGAGGGCACGGCGCTGCTCGTATCGGAAAGAAAGGGAAGAACAAGGCTTGCAATTCTGCTCTCACACTCCCAAAGATCCATTTGTTCTTCTTCTACTGACAAATCTGTGGCGTTTTTCTCTAGCAAGCAAGCTAGAGAAAGCTTGATTGCAGAAAGCATCAAGAGGAAGCAAACACACAACCCGCAGCGTGTGCGCTGAGAAAAGTGACTGTGCTCGGCGGCGAAGTGGCCAGAAGGCAAACTCAGCCTCGAGCCGAGCCTGGTGCTGTGGGCAGAGCGGCTTTTCCATTTCTATTTTCAGCTCTCTGACACAGAACTCAGCCTTCGGGTTCCCCGGGAGGCCGCGCTCCGGCCGGAGGCTCCCGGGAGGCCGCGGCGCTGCGCGGTGCCGTGCACCATCTAGCGGGAGCTGCCGGCTGCTCCCAGGCACCGAGTCTCATCCTCGGCCTCTCGACCGAGGCAGCAGATTTCATTTTTGTCTAATTAAGCTGCTTAAATTTTCCCAGAGAGCTGATAATAAATCGAAGCGAGGGCTGCAACTTTTTTTTTTCCCCAGTATAGAATTCCTTTTCAGGCTGTTCCGCACTATAACCTTGGAAATCCAGTAATCAAGGAAACATGAGAAGTGAAATCCACCGTTACAAAGTCTCCCTAGCTTTAGACCATCTGAGCACAGAGTAATGTAAAAGAAAGCACAAAAGCAACAAACAGC